CACTGCACTCCAGTCTGGGCGACAGAGTGAGACTCCAACTCAAAAAAAAAAAAGAATTTGAGGGGTTTTGTCTTTGAGACAGTCTTGCTCTATCACCCAGGCTGGAGTCCAGTGATAGCTCACTGCAGCCTCTAATTCCTGGGCTCAAGTGAGCCTCTCACTTCACCCTCTCAAGTACCTGGGACTACAGATATATGCCATCATGCCTGGCTAATATAAGAAAATTTTTTGAGATGAAGTCTGACTATGCTGCCTGGCTGGTTTTGAACTGCTGGCCTGCCTCGGCCTCCCAAAGTACTGGGATTATAGACATGAGCCACCATGCCTGGCCTAGTTTTTCTTTTTGCTTTGTTTCATTTGCATTTGAATCTGCAGATCGGACCTAAACCACTTGGTAAAGATCCCATCAAGACCTTGTTTTAAAAAAAAGGAAAGCCTCTGAAAGGGTCTCAGGTCTCTATAAAGGGTGAGGCTTTAGGGAGTTTTGAGGGGGGGGCCTCAGGTACCTGTAAAAGGTGGGACTTTGGGTGGCTGGTGAGGGGAGGGGTAGGGGAACCCCTAAAGGGTGGGGTTTTGGGAAGGGATGGTGAGAGAAGGCACCGGCAGCTGCTAAGGGTAAGGATTTGGGGACAGGGGAGGGAAGGTGCAGGAGCATCTGTAAAGGGCAGGGCTTTGGGGGGGGCTGCTGAGGGGAGGGGCATGGGATCCTCTAGAAAGGGGGGCTTTAGGGGACTGGTGAGGGGGACGTGGGAACCTCTAATGGGTGGGGCTTTGGGGGCTGCCAAGGGGGGTGTCCGGGAACCTGTAAAGGGCAGGGCTTCAAGAGTCCAGTTTGGAAGGACTCTCCAGGGACCAGGTAGGAGGGCAGTACTGGGCGACCTGAATGCCCTGGAAGGACCTAGGCTGCGAAGACACATGAAGGGTGGGGGAGAAAGGAAAGAAGTAAAGCCTCCAAAGATTGGCACTAGGGAACTCAAAGGCTGAGGTTCCAACAATGATGCCAATGGTGTAGGGTATTCCTG